TGCACTCCAGCCTGGGTAACGTGAGTGAAACTCCGTCTCAAAAAAAAAAAAAAAAAAAAAAATTAAAAACAAACAAACAAACAAACAAACAAAAAAAAAAAACTGAGAGATGCAATTTTAGAACCCAGGAGGCCAGGCTGCTATTTCTTCTGGGAGTGATTTCCCAAAATGGACCCGGAGCTGATAGGTTCCTGGGGGGACTAGGGGGAGAGGGACCTTGTGCCCACCCAGTCGTCCAACTACTGCCTCCACGTCCCTACCACCAGAAGGCCAGCACCCACCTTTCTGCCACATTTTGGGACGCATAAAAGGACCCAGATTGGAGACTTGTCCAAGGACAGGTGGGACATGGGCAGTTAAGGGGGCTGAATATTATCCAACATTTTCATCTCCTCCCCCGTCATAAAATTGGTAAAGTCGGGCATCGTGGCACACGCCTGTAATCCCAGCTACTCAGGAGGCTGAGGCAGGAGAACTTCTTGAACCCGGGAGGCGGAGGTTGCAGTGAGGCAAGATCTTGCCACTGCACTCCAGCCTGGCAACAGAGAGAGACTCTGTCAGAAAAAAAAAAAAAAAAAGAAAGAAAGAAAAGAAAGAAAAAGAGTTAGAGAGAGGAAGGAAGGAGAAATAACACTGTAAAGAGACTGTGATGGAGTCACAGGGGAGTCAGTGGGACTCAGGTTTGAACCCCAGTTTGATGTCACATTGGCTGAGTGACCCTTGGGCAAGTCACTTGAGCTGTCTGAGCCTCAGTTTCTCCACCGGGGAAATAGAATAGCTGATGGCAGCCCAGAGGTGGCTGTGGGGCTCTTTGCCACATCCCTCCTGAAAGACAGTCTTTGTTTCTGGGCTCCTAGGCCTGTATGAGCTCAATCTCACCACTGATAGCCCCGCCACCACGGGAGCGGAGGTGACCATCTCGGCCAGCCTGGTGGCCAAGGACAACGGCAGCCTGGCCCTGCCCGCTGATGCCCACCTCTACCGCTTCCATTGGATCCACACGCCCCTGCTGCTCACCGGCAAGATGGAGGAGGGTCTCAGCTCCACCATCCATGTGGTCAGCCACATGCCCGGGGACTTCCCCGTCTCCGTCTGGGTCACTGCCGCCGACTGCTGGATGTGCCAGCCTGTGGCCAGGGGCTTCGTGGTTCTCCCCATCACAGGTGAGGCTCACTCCCGTTTGCTAGTTTGCCTTTGAACGCTTGGTGCAGAGAAAAACATCCAGCCTCACTAAGATCAATGCAGATTAGGCTCGTAGGTTCTTTCCCTGGGTTGGTCGACTTAGAAGGAATCAAAAAATGGCAGCGTTTCCACCCCCGCCGCCACCAGCAAGTATTGTGCTAAAATGGACACTTAGAGCACGAGTGGCTGCTCGGGGCATCCATTAATAACAGCCCTTTTGAGAGTGGTTGGTCAATAGGTACTGATGATTAGAAATTATTATAGTCTTGGCTGGGCACAGTGGCTCACGCCTGTAATCCCAGCACTTCGGGAGGCCGAGGCAGGTGGATCGCCTGAGATCGGGAGTTTGAGACCAGCCTGATCAAATTAGCTGGGCGTGGTGGTGGGCACCTATAATCCCAGACTTTCGGGAGGCTGAAGCAGGAGAATCACTTGAACCTGGGAGGGCGGAGGTTGCCTTGAGCCGAGATCGCACCACTGCACTCCAGCCTGGGGGACAGAGCCACACTCTATCTCAAAAAAAAAAAAAAAAAAAAAGAAATTATTGTAGTATTGGGGCCAATCATTAATTCATTGGTTCTTTCCTCTTTCTCACCTCTCTCTCTCTTTTCTGCCTCTCTCTGTCCCTCTCTTTGTTCTTTTTATCTGTCTCTTTCTGTCTGTCTCTGTCCCCTTTCTGTCTCTTACTGTGTCTCTCTCTGTCCCTCTCCCTCTGTTCTGTCTCTCTGTCTCAGTCTCTTTGTCTCTTTACCTTTCTGTCAGCCTCTCTTTCTCTCTCTCTCTTATTTTAAGAGAAGATGCCCCTTTAGCCTTTTGGACTTTACAGTCTAATAATGAATTTATCTTCATAAAATCAACCTGTATTTGGGTAACACCTTCTGCGTTAAGATGTTCATTGCAGTAGTGTTTATAATAGCAAGAGAAGAGATAAACACGCTAAGTGAGCAAGCGTTAGAAGACTGGCTAAATATAATGAAATCATTTGTACAACTAGTAACAGTGAATCTTACAAATGAGTTTGTAATGCCATGGGGCATTATATATGCACATAAAATTACATGTTAAGAAAGCAAAGCACAGAATTGTCTAATGAACCTGATAATCTGTATTTAATGTGTACATTAAACACACACGCAAATATTTCATCATACTTCAAAACGGCAACAGTGGTAGAGTTGAATAACTGTTCACTTCTTTTCTTCTTATTTTGTGTTTGAACATTTTCCAAATGCGCTTTATTGAGTATATGCCTTCCTTACTTTCCACTTTTGCTAATTTTAATTATTTTTAATCTTTTTTTTTGAGACAGAGTCTCCCTCTGTCACCCAGGCTGGAGTGCAGTGGTGTGACCTCGGCTCACTGCAACCTCTACCTCCTGGTTCAAGCGATTCTCCTGCCTCAGCCTCCCGAGTAGCTGGGACTACAGGTGCCTGCCACCACGCCCGGCTAATTTTTATATTTTTAGTAGAGATGGAGTTTCACCATGTTGGCCAGGATGGTCTGGAACTCCTGGCCCCAAGTGGTCTGCCTGCCTTGGCCTCCGAAAGTGCTGGAATGACAGGCTTGGGCCACTGCGCCTCCCCAATTTTTTTTTCTTTTTAGAGAAGTAGACATAGGACAGCGACCCCAGCATGTTGGGTGTGGAACTGCGATCAGTGCAACTGCTAATTTTTCTAGGCTCACCTGACATTCTGAAATGTTTCCCAAAAGTTCCTTTCGAAGCCCATGCATTTCCTTCAGACCCTGGGCATCTTTTGTGCCAGAAAGTTGAGGGCCCTGGTGAGACGGGGACAGGAGAGAAAACAATGAATGTGACAGAGCCCTCTGGTCCATGCGGCAGGGGGAGGATGTGGATGCCTCTGTGTTCAGGGGTATTTGGGGAGGGAGGGTCCCCTTTCCCTGCCTAGCTCTGACAGCCAGAAGGTCGGGGCAGGGGAGCGGTGGCTTTGCCAGCTGCCTTCAAGGTCTCTGACTGGCTCCCCACTCCCTGAATCTCCCAGACTCACCCTCCCGTCTCTCTTTTCTCCCAGAGTTCCTCGTGGGGGACCTTGTCGTCACCCAGAACACCTCCCTGCCCTGGCCCAGCTCCTATCTCACTAAGACGGTCCTTAAAGTCTCCTTCCTCCTCCACGACCCGAGCGACTTCCTCAAGACCGCCTCGTTTCTCTACAGCTGGGACTTTGGGGACGGGTAGGTCCTTGCCCCTCTGCAGGCCCTACAGCTGTCACCAGTGCCCCACAGTCCTGCGCACTGTGCAGGGTGCTCTGAATCTCCCCACCTTTCTTTATTTTCTTTAAAAAACTTTTTTGAGATACAGTCTCACTCTGTCACCAGGCTGGAGTGCGGTGGTGCCATATTGGCTCACGGCAACCTCTGCCTCCTGGGTTCAAGTGATTCTCCTGCCTCAGCCTCCTCAGTAGCTGGAACTACAGGCATGCACCATCACATCTGGCTAATTTTTTTTTGTTATGTTTTTTTCAGTAGTCCTGGGATTACAGGTGTGAACCACCATGCTTGGATAATTTCTTTTTTTTAGTAGAGACGGGGTTTTACCATGGTCAGGCTGGTCTCGGACTCCTGACCTAAAGTGATCCTCCCACCTCAGCCTCCCAAAGTGCTGGGATTACAGGCATGAACCACTGCGCCTGACCTGAAACTCCCCACCTTTACCCGCTCACTCTCTCTTCCCTTCAAGCATCCCTCAACCTCCTCTCTGCCAGGCCTGGGGATCCTGGGGAACACAGGTGAATCAGTCACTAGCCCTGCCTTTGTGGTGTCTTCACCTAATAGAGGAGGCCATTGGTGCCCAAAACAGCCCTTTAGGGAAGGTCAACATAGGTAGGATTTTTTCCCATTTGACCTTGAAGGGCACCCAGCCAGCCACTGGTAGATACAAGGTAGAACCCAGGTGCCCTGGTTTCATTTCTCTTCATTCCTCCTTTTTAACTTTTTGTCTTCCCCCCTGTCTTTTTTTTGTGGAGTAGAACAAGGTCTTGTTATGTTGCCCAGGCTGGTCTTGAACTCCTGGGCTCAAGTGATCCTCCCACCTCTGCCTCCCTAAGTGCTGGGATTACAGGTGGGAGCCACTGTGCTCAGCTCGCTCCCTCCTTCCCTCCCTCCCTCCCTCCCTCCCTCCCTTCCTTCCTTCCTCTATTCTCTTGCTTTTCTACCTTTTCTCTCCTTTTCTTTCTCTCTTTTTCTTTCTTTCTTTCTTTTTCTCTCTCTCTCTTTCTTTCCTTTTCTTTTTTTCTTTCCCTCCTTCCCTTCCTTTCCTTCCTTTATTTTCCTCTCTTTTTTTTTTTTTTTTTTTTGAGACCGAGTTTCGCTCTTGTTACCCAGGCTGGAGTGCAATGGCGCGATCTCGGCTCACCGCAACCTCCGCCTCCCGGGTTCAAGCAATTCTCCTGCCTCAGCCTCCTGAGTAGCTGGGACTACAGGCACGCGCCACCATGCCCAGCTAATTTTTTGTAGTTTTAGTAGAGACAGTGTTTCACCATGTTGACCAGGATGGTCTCGATCTCTTGACCTCATGATCCACCCGCCTCAGCCTCCCAAAGTGCTGGGATTACAGGCTTGAGCCACCGCGCCCGGCCCTTATTTTCCTCTCTTTCCTCTTTCTCTCTTTCTGTTTGTCTCTCTTCCCCTTCCCTCTCCCCCCTCCCCCCTCCCCCCTCCCTTTCTCTTCCTTCCAAAGTGTTGGGATTACAGGGGTGAGCCACTGTGCCCAGCAAAACTCAGAATGTGGATTCCCTAACTCTTGGTGACAAAAGCAACCTATGGCCACTCGGGCTAGTTCAGTGGTGTGATTATAGATCACTGCTGCCTTGACTTCCCAGCCTCAAGCAATCCTCCCACCTCTGCCTCCTGAGTGGCTGGGACTACAGGCATGCACCACCATGCCTAGCTGATTTTAATTTTTTTTGTAGAGACAGGGTCTTACTATGTCGCCCAGGCTGGTCTCAAACTCCTGGGCTCAAGCAATCCTTCCATCTCAGCGTCCCAAAGTGTTTGGATTACAGGTGTAACCCACTGCCACTGTGCTTGGCTTCCCCCCACACCCCCGCCCTTTTTCTAGAGACAGGGTCTTGCTCTGTCACCCAGGCCAGTGGCACAAACTTGACTCACTGCAGCCTTGGCCACTTGTGCTCAAGTAATCCTCCTGCCTCAACCTCTTGAGTAGCTGGGACCACAGGCATGTCCCACCACACTGGAATGGTTTTTAAAAATGTTTTGTAGAAATGGGTCTCAATGTGTTGCCCAGGCTGGTCTTGAACTCCTGGCCTCAAGCCATCCTCCCGCCTCGGCCTTCCAAAGCACTGGGATGACAGATGGGAGCCACCATGCCTAGTCAGATCATCTCTTTAGATGCCAAAAAAGTGTTCGTGTGAACAGAAATGGACATTCAATGTAATATCAGTAAACTAGAAAAAAGAAGTTGCTGGGACTAACAACGAACATTATACTGAGTGGAGAACTTAGAATATGTTTTTGTTTTTGGCCAGGCGTGGTGACTCATGCCTGTAATCCCAGCACTTTGGGAGGCTGAGGTGGGTGGATCACTTGAGGTCAGGAGTTTGAGACCAGCTTGGCCAACATGGTCAAACCCCGTTTCTACTAAGAAAATATTAAAAAATTAGCCAGGGCGTGGTGGCTCATGCCTGTAGTCCCAGCTACTCAGGAGGCTGAGGCAGGAGAATCATTTGAACCTGGGAGGTGGAGGTTGCAGTGAGCTGAGATCTTGCCACTGCACTCCAGCCTGGGTGACAGAACCAGACTCCATCTCAAAAAAAAAAAAAGAAAAAAATGTGTTTTTGAGATAGGGTCTCACTCTGTTACCCAGGCTGGAGTGCAGTGGCATGTTCTTGGCTCACTGCAACCTCCATCTCCTGGCCTCAAGTGATCCTCCCACCTTGGCCTCCTGAGTAGCTGGGACCACAAGTCTGCAACATTATAGCTGGCTAATTTTTGTATTTTTTTGGTAGAGACAGGGTTTTGCCAAGTTGCCCAGGCTGGTCTTGAGCTTCTTGTCTCAAGCAGTCCTCCCACCTCAGCTTCCCAAAGTGTTGGTATTACAGGGGTGAGCCACCGTGCCTGGCAAAACTCGGAATATAGATTCCCTAACTCTTGGTGACAAAAGTGACCTGTGGTCAAACACCTTTGAGGAATCATTCCACTGAGATGCTGGGGGACCCTGGCCCTAGATGCAGGAATAAGACAAGGGTGTTCCTTATCAGGGTCCTTCAATGTCATCCTGAAAGTTCTAACTTAGTAGAGTCAAGAAAGTAAGTGCAGGCCAGGCCCGGTGGCTCACACCTGTCATTCAGTGTTTTGAGATGCCGAGGGGATACGGGAATTGCTTGTGTCCAGGAATTCCAGACTAGTTTGGGCAACATAGTGAGACTTCATCCTACAAAAAATACAAAAGTAGCCAGGCATGGTGATGCATACCTGTAGTCCCAGCTACTTGGGAGGCTGAGGTGGTAGGATTGCTTGAACCTAGGAGTTGAGGCTGTAGTGAGCTATGATTGCACCACAGCACTCCAGCCTGGGTAACAGAGCAGAACCTTATCTCTAAAAAGAAAACAAAAAAAAAAAAAAAAAGAGAGAGAAAGTGTAGTACAAATATTGGAAAGCAGACAATTTGCAGCAAAGACTATTTACCTGAAAGATCTGGATGCAGCTTTGTCCAATAGAACCCTTGGCTTGTCCAGGCACAGTGGCTTATACCTGTAATCCCAGCACTTTGGGAGGCTGAGGCAGGAGGATCACTTGAACGCAGGAGTTCAAGACCAGCCTGGGCAACATAGTGAGAACCTGTCTTTACAAAAAATCACATATCAGCCAGACACAGTGGTACACGCCTGTGATTCCTGCTACTTGGGAGGCTGACACGAGCAGATTGCTCGGGCCCAGGAGTTCCAAGCTGCAGTGAGCCATGATTGTGCCATTGTGTGACAAAGTGAGACCCTGTCTCAATAAAAACCACAAACAAAACCAACATTTTTGGCAATGTTCTGTCTCCACCCCACGGTGCTGTTGAGCCCTTGGACTCTGGCTAATGTGAGAAATTCGTAATTGTACCTAATTTTAGGCCCTGTCTGGCCTGTTTCCTCATCTGGGAAATGGGCCGGCTGACCTGGAGCCCCAGCTGGCTCTAGGCTGCGATGACAGATGTGCTTACTGGTAGCCGAGAGTATCACTGCACAGCCTCCCCTGACTCTGCCAAGTCCCTTGAATCACTTCTGAGTTACAGGCAGGGGAAGCAACCCTCTGCTGTCCTGCTCCTCTCGCCTCCCTGTCTCCTAACAGGACCCAGATGGTGACTGAAGACTCCGTGGTCTATTATAATTATTCCATCATTGGGACCTTCACCGTGAAGCTCAAAGTGGTGGCAGAGTGGGAAGAGGTGAAGCCGGATGCCACGAAGGGTGTCATGCAGAAGACAGGGGACTTCTCCGCTTCACTGAAGCTACAGGGTGGGTCTCTGAGGGGGCGGATACAGTCTGAACATTCCAGAGTGGGGTCACCGTACGCTCAGATCACAGTGGCTCTGGGCTAGACTCACACCCTGTCTTCTTGAGCCCCACAGACCTCTGAGGAGCATCTGTCGTCACCCCTGCTTCAGAGAGGGCACTGAAGGCCACTGATGGGATCACATGGCTGTGCAGTGGCGGGACGGCCCCTGTTCCCCAGGCCTGCCTGCTCACAGAGCCTGAGCCTGTGACCAGCTCTCTGCTATGAATGGGTGGTCCATGTTGACCCCTGTTCCCCGGCCCCATCGGCCTCCCACCAAGGCTCACTCAGGGTGGGATGGTCTCCGTCTCTCCCTGGCTTTGGCGAGAGGGGGCTCTTGGGTGGCTGCAGAAGATGTCTTGGTTCTTGCTAATGGGATGGTGCTTTCCTGCGTGTGACACAGAGGCTGAATCGGCGGTGGGCAGAACGACACTGTGTTTGCCTGCCTTTTCCAACTCCTCTGCGCCGGCTCCAGCACTGCTGCTGACGGGGGAGGGCAGGACCCAGAGGAACTTTGCACAGAACTGTGACCCGCTCTTAGGAGAGGGACAGAGGAGAGGACAGGGTGGCGGTCACTCCACCCTGCACCCTGGGAGCCTTGACAGTAGTCCTCAACCACCAGGTCTAATGCGGTTCTCCGCCTTACAGAAACCCTTCGAGGAATCCAAGTCTTGGGGCCCACCCTAATTCAGACCTTCCAAAAGATGACTGTGACCTTGAACTTCCTGGGGAGGTAAGTGGGCCCTGGAGTGCACTGTGGGTACCCTGTGGGCTCTGCACATCCACTGTCATGGTACACCCAAGTCTATTCCTCTCTGTGACCGGCCCAGGTCTGGGACCTCAAGGAAGGAAAGGCAGTGCCACTCTGTCCTGAGGCTGGGCCATGGGGAGAACATGGGCTCAGCTCTAGTCTTTATTTTTATTTTTATTTATTTTTTGAGACAGTGTCTCACTCTGTCACCCAGGCTGGAGTACAGTGGTGCAATCTCAGCTCACTGTAACCTCCTCCCGGGTTCAAGTGATTCTCCTGCCTCAGCCTCCCGAGTAGCTGGGATTACAGGTGCACACCACCACGCCTAGCTAATTTTTTTGTAGTTTTAGTAGAGACAGGGTTTCATCATGTTGGCCAGGATGGTCTCGATCTCCTGACCTCGTGATTTCTCCGCCTCGGCCTCCCACGGTGCTGGGATTATAGGTGTGAGCCACCACATCCAGCCCTGTTTTTACTTTTTAGAAACAGGGTTTTACTCTGTCACCCAGGCTGGAGTGCAGTGGTACCATCACAGCTCACTGCAGCCTTGACCTCCCAGGCTTAAATGATTCTCCTGGCCAGGTGCGGTGGCTCACGCCTGTAATCCCAGTACTTTGGGAGGCTGAGGTGGGCAAATTGCCTGAAGTCAGGAGTTCAAGACCAGTCTGGCCAACATAGTGAAACCCTATCTCTACTAAAAGTTCAAAAAAAATTCGCTGGGCATGGTGGCACATTCCTGTAATCCCTGCAACTCAGAAGGCTGAGGCAGGGGAATTGCTTGAACCAGGGAGGTGGAGGTTGCAGTGAGCTAAGATCATGCCACTGCACTCTAGCCTGGGCGACAGATCGAGACTCTGTCTCAAGAAAAAAAAAAAAAGATTCTCCTACTTCAGCCTCCTGGGTGGATGGGACTACAGATGGGCACCACTGTGCCTGGCTAACTTATAGTTTTTGTAGAGATGAGGATCTTGCTATGTTGCCCAGGCTGGTCTCAGACTTTTGGGCTCAAGTGATCCTCCCAACTTGGCCTCCCAAAGTGCTGGGATTACAGGCGTGAGCCACTGCACCTAGCCCTCAGCTCAATTCTTGAGGCAGGAGGGAGGACCTGCCTTTTGGGGCTGTGTTCACCGTGGGCATGGAGGCAAAGGAGGGAAGGGAGCCCTCCTGTGAGAAGCCCTCTCATACGTGAGGAGCGTATGACGTGGCCCGTTTTCCAGCCCCTGGCCTTTGCCCATGCAGTTCTTTCAGGGTTCCCTTCTCTCCCTCACATGTACATATGTTCCTCATTCTTATAAACCCCTTGGAATGCCTGCCTTCAAAAGCCTTTTCTGAGGCCGGGTGCTGTGACTCACGCCTGTAATCCCAGCTACTAGGGAGGCTGAGGCAGGGGAATTGCTTGATCCCAGGAGGTGGAGGTTGCAGTGAGCCGAGATCCTGCCACTGCACTCCAGCCTGGGTGACAGAGCGAGACTCTGACTAAAAACCAACCAACCAACCAACTTGTCCTGCCCTTGAGCTTGCGCCAGCTGGCAGAAGTTCACTGTGCGTCTGCTTTGGACCAGGTGCTATTCTGGAAGCTTCCAGATCAGAGTAGAAAAGATAGAGACAGTGCTTCCAAGGGTACTGTGTGCAGGGTGGGGCGCCCCACGTGACACAGAAGGAGATCATCCCAGGGGATTCTTATCAGCCCGTCTACTCACGGTGGCCTGGCCCAGACTCTTGGCAAGAGCAGTGTCAGGCTGAGTGTTTAGTAAAGTGAGGAGACACGGGGGCCGAGTGCCCTCTGTCCATGAGGGTGCCCCTCCCTGGGGCCCCTGGGAGGATAGAGTGGCAGATGTTAGTAGTCAGGGCCCAGGCCCTAAAGGACTCTCTTTTTTTAAAGTTTATTTTATTTTATTGTTTTTTCAGATGAAGTCTCACTTTGTTGCCCAGGCTGGAGTGCAATGGCACAACCTCAGCTCACTGCAACCTCCGCCTCCTGGGTTCAAGTGATTCTCTTGCCTCAGCCTCCCGAGCAGATGGGATTACAGTCGTGTGCTACCATACCGGCTAAATTTTTTTTTTTTTTTTTTTTGAGACAGAATCTTGCTGTATCACCCAGGCTGCAATGCAGTGGCATGATTTCAGCTTACCTAACCTCCTCCTTCTGGGTTCAAGTGATTCTCCTGCCTCAGCCTCCTAAGTAGCTGGGACTACAGGTGCATGTTACCATGCCTGGCTAATTTCTTTTTTTTGTATTTTTAGTAGAGACGGGTTTTCACCCTGTTAGCCAGGATGGTCTCAATCTCCTGACCTCATGATCTGTCCACTCCAGCCTCCCAAAGTGCTGGGATTACAGGCATGAGCCACCGCACCCAGCCAGCCCTTGAAGGATACTTGTCCTCACACAGAGACACATCAGAGGGATGCTGGGCCAGACAGAGAGTGAGCAACGAAGGCTGGGGGAAGAGGAAGATGAGCTATTAATAATTTAGGGGCTGGCTGGGCGCGGTGGCTCATGCCTGTAATCCCAGCACTTTGGGAGGCTGAGGCAGGCAGATCACGAGGTCAAAAGATCGAGACCATTCTGGCCAGTATGGTGAAACTTCATCTCTACTAAAATTAAAAAAATTAGCTGGGCGTGGTGGTGCATGCCTGTAGTGCCAGCTACTTGGGAGGCTGAGGCAGGAGAATTGCTTGAACCTGGGAGGCGGAGGTTGCAGTGAGCTGAGATCGCGCCATTGCACTCTAGCCTGGGCGACAGAGTGAGACTCTATCTCAAAAATAAATAAAATAAAATAAAATAATTAGTTGGGCATGGTGGCTGGTGCCTGTAGCCCCAGCTACTCTCAAGGCTGAGGCAGGAAGATGGCTTGAGCCCAGGAGTTGGAGGCTGCAGTGAGCTATGATCGAGCCACTGCATGTTAGCCTGGGTGATAGAATGAGACCCTGTCTCAAAAACAAACAAAACCCATAAAATACGGGACGCGCTTATTATTCCCCTGGGCTTCCAGGTTATACCTTGTGTGCCATCAGACCACTCATCCTGCCTCCAGTGAGCAGTCTGTGTATATCTGTTTGCCTTTTCCACTTGGAATCCCCTTGGGGGTCCGGGACCATCTCTTTTGCACCACAGGGTCCCCTGGTCTGAAATGCGTGTAGCTGAGTGCAGCACAGCTTGGTGTCCTGTCCTATAAAGGACGCTGAGGTTCATGCCCACCCAGCCTGCCTCTGTGCTGACCCTCTTTGCCAATCCTTTTCTAAAAAACCATTCCTGGCCAGGCACAGTGGCTCATGCCTCTAATCCCAGCACTTTGCGAGGCTGAGGCGGGTGGATCACTTGAGGTTGGGTTTGAGACCACCCTGGCCAACACGGCGAAACCACACCTCTACTAGAAATACAAATATTAGCCAGGTGTGGTGGTGGGTGCCTGTAATCCCAGCTACTTGGGAGGCTGAAGCAGGAGAATTGCTTGAACCCGGGAGGCGGAGGTTGCAGAGAGCCAAGATTGTGCCCCTGCACTCCAGCCTGGTGACAGAGTGAGACTCCATCTCAAAAATACATAAAAACAAAAACAAAAACACAAACAAAAAACACCGTTTTCCCCACAGCCCTCCTCTGACTGTGTGCTGGCGTCTCAAGCCCGAGTGCCTCCCGCTGGAGGAAGGGGAGTGCCACCCTGTGTCGGTGGCCAGCACAGCATACAACCTGACCCACACCTTCAAGGACCCTGGGGACTACTGCTTCAGCATCCGGGCTGAGAATGTCATCAGCAAGACTCATCAGTACCACAGGATCCAGGTGTGGCCCTCCAGTAAGTGACCCCTCGCCCTCTGCTCCAGTGCCATATGGGCAGCACAAGCCTGTCCATCCCACCACTACCACCAGTATGCTCCTACCAGCTAGCCTTACCAAGATCCTCAGCAACAAAGTCCACCAGCATCAGCACCATCAGTAACTCTACTGACTCCAGTGATGACCAATATTAGCCTTGGCCAACCGCCAATACCACCACCACCAAACGCTCCAATCCCACCCACAACCAACTTTGCCGACCCCAACATGGCACCCATCAATTCTACCAACATCATCATCAAGACCAGCACCACTAACAGCTGTAACCAACTCAGCCACCATCTTGACCATACGCGCTCCTGACTACTCTTCCAGCACCACCAGTGCCACCGCTAACGACTCCATCCAGTATTCTCACCAAGTCACCTCAATGACCCCTGGCCCTACCCACATCTATAAGCCCATGCCACCACTTGCCCCAATGCCAGCTCCGTGGACCAAATCCATCCATGCCAATGTCCTCTCCCACATATTTCCAAGACCACACATGTCCCCAGTGCAAACACTTTTGTACCAAATGAGCCACCATGATTGCAGTGTTCCCTCCCTCATCGCCATCACCGCTGCCCCAGCAGTTGCCACTGCTAAAACCAGCATCCCCAACAGTAACTCTACTCAACTCTCAGTGTTGTAGTGAGTCTTCCAGGTAGAAGGAGTTGCATGTCATTAATAAGGATGCCTGGGCTAGGCATAGTGGCTCCCAGGACTTTGGGAGACTGAGGCGGGCGGATTGATTGAACCCAGGAGTTGAGACCAGCTTGGGTAACATGGCAAAACTCTGTCTCTACAAAAAATAGAAAAATAGGCCGGGTGCGGCAGCTCATGCCTGTAATCCCAGCACTTTGAGAGGCCGAGGTGGGTGGATCACTTGAGGCCAGGAGATTGAGACCAGCCTGGCCAATGTGGTGAAACCCCGTCTCTACTAAAAATACCAAAACTTAGCTGGGCGTGGTGGTGTGCACCTGTAATCCCAGCTACTTAGGAGGCTGAAGCGCGAGAATCCCCTGAACCTGGGAGGTGGAGGTTGCAGTGAGCTGAGATTGTGCCACTGTACTCCAACCTGGGCCACAGAGAGGCTCTTGTCTCAAAAAAAAAAAAAAAATATATATATATATATATATATATATATATATATATAGATAGATAGATAGATAGATAGATAGTGGCATGTGCCTGTGTCCTTGCTACTTGGGAAGCTGATGTGGTAGGATCACTTGAGCCCAAGACATTGAGGCTGCAGTGAGCCAAGATCGTACCATGGCACTCCAGCCTGAGCGACAGTGAGACCCTGTCAAGAGAGGGAAAGAGAGAGAGAGAGAGAGAGAGAGAGAGAGAGAGAGAGAGAGAGAGGGAGAAAAGGATGCCCAACTTTCTTTCTTAAAATACCCTTCCCAAACCATCATCAGGCCCAGCCCCTGGCTTATGGTTGCAGGCTTTGCTGACGACAGCATTGGGTTCTACACTTCATTTTTATGGAGGACTCTAGGAGCCCCAGCGAAGTACTTCCTTACATAGAGGAGAAAGAAGGATCTCAGGTCCTGAAGGTACCATCTTTCAGATGCCCAACCCAGTCCTACCTTTGATGCTACAAAAGGGGAAACTAAGGCACAGGGAGACAATAAGACTGATGTCAGCCTAAGCCTGACCCAAGCTTTCAGATTCCTGTTCCTGGAGTAGGAGGTACTTCTTCCCAGTGCTCCCAAGCTCATGTTAAACTCTGCCAGCTGCACCTGTCTTCAAGGTTGGTCCTATGGATGCACCTGAAGTTGTCACTGTCCCCTCCAATCTCCCTAATCCAACTCTGAGCCCCTGAGAAGATGCTACTCTCCATCTGGGACCTGGCTTACTTTGTGGCCATCATCAAGTCACTTGGGCCCTACTGTCCCTCAGCACCCTCTGGGTACCAAGTTACAGTCAGGAACCCCCTGAATTCTGCAGAGAAGACAGCAGTACAGGTAATCAAAATCAATGCCAACTTTTCTTGCCAGACTTTCACGGCAGAGGGTGAGGGAAAAGGGAGAGGGAACTCACACTTCCTGATCACCTACCACATGTCACACATATCAATACCCCTCTTCTTGCATTTCCTTAGCAGTCTCGCAGGTCAGCATTAGCATGAGGTAGCCTGTTCAGAGCTAGGATTTGAACCCAGGACTGTTTAACTTTAGACACTGGACTCTTTCTACCATACCACTTCATATAGCAACAGGTTTAGTGGATGAGCCTGGAGTTGCCAGAGGGTGGGAAGCTGAAACAGAGGACACAGTGCTGACTGGGTGACCTCACAACATGGCTGCCCTTCCCAAAAGTGTGTCATCCACTAGAGCAAGGAGGAAGCTGTGGTGTCTTTTATGGCTTAGACTCAGGAGTCACGCACCGTCACTCCTTTCATCTGCTGTACACTAGGAGCTGGTCATTGAGTCCAGCCCGTACTCAAGAGGTGAGGAATTTAGCTGCCCCTCTTGGAAGTTGCTACCAAATAAGCTGTGGATGTATGCTGAAAGCCTCCTGCTGAGTCCCCAGTTTATTTTTTGTGAAGTCCTGTATTTTCCAATTGGGGTTGCTCAGTTGGGATGCATGTACATGAGGGTAAAAAAAAATCACTGGTAGACTGGGAGTGGTGGGTCCTGCCTGTAATCCCAGCACTTTCGGAGGCCAAGGTGGGTGGATCACCTGAGGTCGGGAGTTTGAGACCAGCCTGACCAACATGGAGAAACCCAGGCCCTACTAAAAATACAAAAATCAGCAGGGTGTGGTAGCACATGCCTGTAATCCCTACTACTCAGGAGGTAGAGGCAGGAGAATCACTTGAATCTGGGAGGCGGAGGTTGCAGTGAGCTGAGATCAGGCCCTTGCACTCCAGCCTGAGCAACAAGAGAGAAACTCTGTCTTGAAAGAAAAAAAATCACCGGTCAGGCTTGACTATTTCCTCCTTTGTTGTGCTTCCTTCCTGAGAACCAGCACTGTAGCACCAGCTACCCAGTCCTGTAATGTTACTTCTTTCATTCCCAGGCATCCAGCCGGCTGTCTTCGCCTTCCCATGTGCTACGCTTATCACTGTGATGTTGGCCTTCATCATGTACATGACGCTACGGAATGCTACTCAGCAAAAGGACATGGTGGAGGTGAGTACTCAGTGGGGTGGGGGCTGGACTACTGGGCCTTGTCTAGAAACAATCTTTAGAGAGGGTATGGGGGCCAGGCCAGGATGCCTGGAGGGGGTCTTGATGTTACAGTGAGGCTCTGGGACTTGGGTGATGTGCCCAAGAGGCATCTGTAGGCAAGGAAAAATTGCTAAGTTGGTGTCTCATCTGATTTATCTCCTATGTCCATCCCTTACATCTGCGTGGTGCCAGAAAGGTGTTTCTGTGCACTCTGCCTCCAGGCAGCTGAGCTCATAAGGCCACGTGATGGGGCTCCTGGTGGGTGGGTGATTGACCCATGGGGTTTTGTTCACCTTAGGTGGCTGATTTTGACTTTTCCCCCATGTCTGACAAGAACCCGGAGCCACCCTCTGGGGTCAGGTGCTGCTGCCAGATGTGCTGTGGGCCCTTCTTGCTGGAGACTCCATCTGAGTACCTGGAAATTGTTCGTGAGAACCATGGGCTGCTCCCGCCCCTCTATAAGTCTGTCAAAACTTACACTGTGTGAACACTCCCCAACCCCACCCCATCTCAGTGTTAACTGACTGCTGACTTGGAGTTTCTGGCAGGGTGGTATGTACCACTGACCAGGAGGGGTTCATGTATGTGGGGCTGTTGGCCTGGTCCATCCTTCCATCTGTACAGTCCAGCCACTGCCACAAGCCCCTCTCTGTCACCCGTGCCCCCAGCCATTCACCCATCTGTACAGTCCAGCCACCAATGTAAGCCCCTCTCAGTTACCACTCCCTTGACCCCCTACCTTTGAAGAGGCTTCATGCAGGACTCTGACACTTGGGGTGCTCCATGTTCACTCCCAGGTGGGCCTGGATGCCCACTGCCCATTCCTCTCATATTGGCACATCTGCTGTCCATTGGGGGTCCTCAACTTTCTCCCTCAGACAGCCCTGTCTGTGCCAGAGAGCTAGAAAGAAGGTCGCAAAGGGTTAAAAATCCATAACTAAAGGTTTGTCACATGGACGGGCACACTCACAGAGACAAGTGTACATGTACACACACATACACACACACACAGATATAAACACAAGTGTCACATGGGCATTTCAGAGGCTCTGCTCTGTGTCTGATTAAGTCAGTTGCTGGGATGCACCCTGCACTTGAACTGAAAGGAAATTTGACCCTCTCCATGCAGACCCAACAGGGCCCTCTTGTATGCTTTGTCTCTGCAGTTCCTGCTCCCTTTTTAAGGCCACCCTAGTCCCGGCTTGCTGGCAGGGGGCTGGAGCAGGACTAACACTTAGTGAGTGCAGAGTGCTTTATAAATATTACCCTATTTTATCAAAACCCATATGTGAAACTTTCATCGAGGTAAAGGCCTTGCCAAAGCAGAGGTTGAGTCAGTAGGGAATGGGGATCCCTGTGTGTGACGGGGGGCATTCTTGCCGGCCAGCTGCTCCCAAGGTGGCCTTGAGAAGGAAGAAGCAGGATGACAGAGCCTAAGCCATGGAACCAGCCTGTGCCCTCCCCTCTGGCCCAGTGACCTGGGTGGTGGCTGAGGGAGACAATAACGAAGCCAGAAGTAGCCCAAGCCTGTTCGGGAAGGGAAGGGCAGGACTGTGGGGTCCAGGCTCTGTCGCTGTAACCATCTGCTCCCAGGCTGTGTGCTGAAAATGGCATTGACATGATTGTGCAGCTCATTCTCATGAAACACTGCCATTGTTGCCAAATAAAGCTTGTGTGCTCTGAATGTAGCCAAGCATCAACGGTGTGGCCAGAGTCCCTTTTTTGTGCATGGATGTTTTGCCTTGCAGACAGCACAGCAAGTGTGCCGCACAGCAGGACATCCCGCGTGTCCTCTGTGGTGAAGACACTGAATGGAGCCACTTCAGGTCCCTGGAGGTGGGGACAGCTGTCCCCAGGTGACCTGGACATGCAAGCCCAGTCTGAGACCCTGGGGGGATTCTAGAGTCAGAGGGGGAACGTGGGCCACAGCTGGGGATGTGATGGAAATGGGCTTCCCTGATACCTGAACCAGTGCCTGGGGAGTGGCCGCCAGCTGTTTCACAAGCCCTCTGGGATCCTGGTCCATATCGAGTGTGAGAACTGCTCGTCTCTAGCAGGGCTTCCTACACTTTGAGGTTCATGAGAATTGCTGGAGATCTTGGTGAACAAGAATTTTCATTCAGGAGGTCTGGAGTAGGGCCTGGGATTCTGCATTTCTTTATTTTTATTTATTTATTTATTTTTTGAGACAGATTCTCTCTCTGTCACCCAGGCTGGAGTACAGTGGCATGATCATAGCTCACTGTAGCCTAGACCTCCTGGGCTCAAGTGATTCTCCCATCTCAGCCTTAACCAGATACTGAGTAGTTGAGACTATAGGTACATGACACTGCCCCTGGCTAATTTTCTGTTTATTTTTTGTAGAGACAAAGTCCCACTATGTTGCCCAGGCTGGTCTCGAACTCCTGAGCTCAAGTGATCCTTCCACCTCAGCCTCCCACAGTGTGTAAGCCCCTGAGCCTGACTCTGCCGTTATTTTTTTCTGCTTCTTTTGCTCCCCGAGGCAGGAACTGACCCTCCCTCTTTCTGTCTTGGAGCTGGCCACAAAGAAATTCTCTGACTTACCTTGGTTCATTGGAGGTCATAGGTCCTCATTGCTGAAGGCATCCTTCCCCATCCCCCGGAGGAAGGAATGCTACACAGAGAGGCCCAGGAGAATCTGGACAAACAGGAACAAACAGGTCTTGCAGTTTCCTCACTGGGCCTGTCAGTATTAGGTTATGTTCCATCTGTCCAATCACATTTCTATGCAGTTGTCAATCATGTCTATTCAAGGGAGCCTTCCTTAAAGGCCCAAGAGGCCTAGGTTTGCAGAGCTTCTGGATAGGTGAACCCATTGAGGTTCTTGGAGGGTGGTGCACCTGGGGGGTATGGAGCTCTGAGCCCTTCCTCCGCATCTCTTCATCTGTTTCTTTTGTAAGATCCTTTATCTTTTTTCTTTTTTTCAGATGGAGTCTTACTCTGCTGCCCAGACTGGAGTGCAGTAGCATGATCTCCGCTCACGGTAACATCTGCCTCCTGGGTTCAAGCGATTCTCCTGCCTCAGCCTCCTGAGTAGCTGGGAATACAGGCTCATGTCACCAAGCCCAGCTAATTTTTGTATTTTTAGCAGAGACAGGGTTTCACCATGTTGGCCAGGGTGATCTTGAACTCCCAACCTCAGATGATCTGCTCACCTTGGCTTTCCAAAGTGTTGGGATTACAGGTGTAAGCCACAGTGCCTGGCCCTGAGGTTTATTTATTTATTTATTTATTTATTTATTTATTTATTTGAGACACAGTCTTGCTCTATCCCTCAGCCTGGAGGTGGCTCACTACAACCTCTGCCTCCTGGGTTCAAGCAATTCTCCTGCCTCAGCCTCCTGAGTAGCTAGGACTACAGGCACCCACTACCACACCCAGCTAAGTTTTGTATTTTTAGTAGAGACGGGGTTTCACTGTGTTGACCAGGATGTCTCGAACTCCTGTCCTTAGGTGATCTGTCCGCCTCTGCCTTTGAAAGTGCTGGGATTACAGGTGTGAGCCACCTTGTCTGGCTGATTCCCCGAGTTCTGTGAGCTGCTCTAGCTAATTAATTAAACCCAAGAGTGGGGTGGTGGGAACCCTGATTTATAGCTAGTCAGAAGTTCCAGAGGTCCAAACTTGCAACTGGTAGAAAGGGGGGGCAGTCTTGTGGGACTGAGCCCTCCAACTGTGGGATCTGATGCTAACTCTGCGTAGGTAGCATCTGAATCGAATTGAAGGACAGCCAGTTGGTGTCCGCTGCTGAATTAATCTCTTGCTTGGTGGATGGGTAGAAACCCCCACACATTTGGCCATAGACACCTTGTGTGTTGATTGTTGTGTTGTAACACAGTTAGAGTTGGTTTTTCTATGCATATAGAAATAGATTCTATTATTCATGCCTTTAATCTCAGCACTTTGGGAGGCTGAGGCGGGTGGATCACCTGAGGTCAGGAGTTCGAGACCATCCTGGCCAACATGGGGAAACCCCATCTCTACCATAAAATATAAAAATTAGGCAGGGTGTGGTGGCTCCTGCCTGTAATCCCAGCACTTTGGGAGGCTGAGGTGGGTGGTTCACCTGAGGTCAGGGGTTCCAGACCAGCCTGGTCAATGTGGTGAAACCCCATGTCTACTATAAAATATAAAAATTAGCTGGATGTGGTGGCACACGCCTGTAATCCCAGCTACTTGGGAGGCTGAGGCTGGAGAATCACTTGAATCTGGGTGGCGGAGGTTGCAGTGAGCCGAGATGGCACCACGGCACTTCAGCCTGGACTACAGAGCAAGACTTTGCCACAAAATAAACAAACAAACAACAACACCACCAAAAAAAAAAAATAAATAAATAAAAGAAGAAGAAAGAAAGAAATAGGTCTTTGCAGATGTAATGAAGTTAAAACGAGGTCACACTCTCTTAGAATGGGCCCTAATCCAATGACTGGTATCCTTATAAGAAGACAAATTTGGCTGGGCGCGGTGGCTCATACCTGTAATCCCAGCAGTTTGGGAGGCCGAGGCAGGCGGATTACTTGAGGTCAGGAGTTTAAGACTAGCCTGGCCAACATGATGAAACCCTGTCTCTAGTAAAAACACAAAAATTAGTCAGGCATGTTGGTGGGCACCTGTAATCCCAGCTACTTGGGAGGTTGAGGCAGGAGAATCACTTGAACTAGGGAGGCGGAGATTGTAGTGAGCTGAGCTTGCGCCACTGCACTCCAGCCTGGGCAACCATTTCAAAAAAAAAAAAAAAAAAAAAAGAAGAGAAACATTGGAAGCAGACATACCCCAGGGGAGACAGCCACATAATGATGGAGGCAGAGATGTGAAAGAATACACTTCTGTTTTGTTTTTGTTTTTTTTAAATATGGAGTCTGGCTCCATAGCGCAGGCTGGAGTGCAGTGGCGTGATCTCAACTCACTGCAACCTCTGCCTCCCGGGTTTAAGCAATTCTCCTGCCTCAGCCTTCCGAGTAGCTGTGATTACAGGTGCCTGCCACACCTGGATAATTTTAATATTTTTAGTAGAGATGGGATTTCACCATGTTAGCCGGGCTGGTCTCAAACTCCTGACCTCATGTGATCCACCCGCCTCAGCTTCCCAAAGTGCTGGGATTATAGGTGTGACTACAGGTGCTGGGCCAGTTTCTGTTGTTTTAAGCCACCCGGTTTGTGGTACCTTGTTTCAGAAACCCCAGGAAACAGACTTCCCCACGTCAATTTCAGCAGCTCCATCTTTCATATTCCATATCCATCCTACAGGAAATCCTTCAGCTGAGATCCGGCATTTGACCGCTGCCCTCACCTCTCCTGCCACCGCTATCCCTGTCCCTGGCAGGGCTCTCACCATGCCTGGTGGCTCCCGCTCACCCTCACTGTGCCAGGAGTCTCTCCTCAAAACTGCGCCACGACCATGTCTTCCTCTGCCCCAAACCCTTCAGTGTCTCCCATCTCAGAGAAAACCCCAAATCCTTCCAGTGGCCCCCCAAGTCCCTGTACAAACTGGCCTGTGACCTTGTCACACCCTGTCCCTGCTGGCTGTCCGGCTGGGTCTTATCTGGGCTGCTCCCTTTGCTGGGTGGGATGCTCTTCTCTGGACACATGTGGGGTTCCCTCTCTTCTCCTTCAGGGCTGGTCAAACATCACCTTCACCTGTGAGGTCACCTTGGCACTTTTTTCTCCTACCTGCCCTTATCCTCATGGCTTATGTCACCTTCAAACATTCTATCATTATTATTTTTTGAGATGGAGTCTCACTCTGTCGCCCAGGCTGGAGTGCAGTGGTGCGATCTCGGCTCACTGCAAACTCTGCCTCCCAGTGCCAAGCAATTCTCCTGCCTCAGCCTCCTGAGTGGCTGGGATTACAGGCGCCCACCACCATGTCCAGCTAATTTTTGTATTTTTAGTAGAGATAGGGTTTCTCTATGTTGGCCAGGCTGGTCTCAAGTGATCTGCCTGCCTCAGCCTCCTAAAGTGTTGGGATTATAGGCGTGAGCCACCGCACCCAGCCTAACGTACTATTAATTTATTTATTTTAGAATTTATTTGTACTTTTTTAAGAGACAGAGTCTTGTTTTACTCTGTCACCCAGGCTGGAGTGCAGTGGTGCAATCATAGCTCACTGCAGCCCCAACCTCCCTGGCTCAAGCAATCCTCCCATCTCGGCCTCCCAAGTAGCTGGGACTACAGGAACACACCACCATGCCCGGCTAATTTTTAAAAACTTTTCGTAGAGATGATAGGGTCTTGCTTGCTCTCGAGGCTGGTCTAGAACTCTTGGCCTCCAGCGATCCTCCCACCTTGGCCTCCCAATGTGCTGGGATTACAGGCATGACTCACGGCAGCTGGCCTCAACTTGTTTATTTAACCTGAGCCTTACATGGTACATAAACTTGAAGAGAAAAAGGATTTTGCCTATTTTGTTCACTATTTCTACTTCAAACACCCAGAATACTACTCAGCACATAGTAGGTTCATTAAATATTGTTGAAAGGAAAGAGGAATGGTGTGAGGAAGGGAAGGACTATTTCCTCACACTTGTGTTGTAACCTCACAATGACTGGAATCAGGGGAGGGCAGACAAGACTCTAAGGAACAGACTCAGTGTCTCTGCAGACTGTCCAGAAGACCCCATAGGTCAGGACAAATGGCCGGAAGCCCCGGTGTGAGACGTGGTGATGTCTGGTGTCAGGAGGCA